AAAAAAAAAAAATGTCATAAGGGTTTGAAATGACATGAGCATGAGTAACATTTAAAAGGAACTCTATGAGTACTGATGATTGTTACCGCCAGACCAACGCAACTACGTATGCTACCTTTTAAAAGTTTGGGGTCAGCAAGACTCGGCAAGACATTCTAAAAGAAATCTCTCACTAAGGCTGCAATACAGTAAAATACAGTAAAACCAGTAATATTGTGAAACATTATTACAATATATAACAACTATTTTAAAATGTAATTTATATGTGTGATGTAAAAGCAAATTTTTCAGAAAACCTATCAATATTATTTCTTCTCAATGTTGAAAACAGCTGTGCTGTGTGTAAACTGTGATACATTTTTTTTTTTACAATTTAATGCCAGTAAAGCTGGTAAATTTAGTATGAAGTGCATCTCACACACTTGCTCCTAAGACATCCATTATAAGTACATTAACACTGAACATTGTTGTTGGTTTTAATACTGAGGGATGAGTTGAAACTATTTTCTGCGGTCAAATCACAGATGCTGTACCTACACAGTTCCTTTAATCAGAGGACAGACACCTAAACAATTACATCACCACAAACTTCACAAGCTTAGCACTATTGTTAATCAATCATCTAATATCATTAACTTCCTTTGATGTTGAAAGTACTGAACAATGCAAACAAAATAATTTGTATAGTGAAACTGGACACGTTGACATGAGATATTTATATAATAACAAAAGAAAAAAGTTTACATCGGAAACCATGGCAGCCGTGACGCTGTTATTATTGCTACATTTCACACTCATGTGAACACAGATGTAAACATTACGCTGGTTTTCTTCTGCAATCTGTGCAGGGAGATAAATGTGTGCAAAGAAACATCCAGACAGGAATGCGCGGCTGAGTTTTGATGACGTGGCCACGAGAACCATGGAAGTAGGAGATCCTTTCCAGATGCGTGTCCTAAAACTGCCTCTCTCTTTCCCTGTGCCTCACTTTTGAGCATTTTACTTTGCATCAAGGTCATGAACTCTGAGAACTACGCTGCAATGTCTTCACCAACCAGTAGAGGGAGGCTTCACCATTTCAATGCATAGCTGTGCCCCATGGGAAGAAAGAGGGTGGTGGGAAATAACTCAACTCAGCATCACTCTCAGCACAAGTGCATCCAGCGCTTTATTCTCTCATTACACTTCATTTATTTGTGACTGATGATTTTTACGCCATAAGTTTGTGCGCAGACAGCAGACTCTAATGTAAACTAGTTACTAAACACATGATTTATCATCACTTATCTTCATTCCATCACTTAGATGTTTGTTGATAATGTCATTAAGGGTGTTTCTTAGAATTCTGTACACAAGAGACTTCCCATTGTTCTTGTTAA